ATTATCTGCTATCTTCTTCCAAATACAACACTTGAATATAGACCAGCTAGACAAGTCTTACCAACTTAAGATGTGCTAACTTTTTATCCTGTGATGTCTACCAGTTTTACATGACCTCTTAGCAATTTCTTTAATTGGCATATTTGCCTGCTCATGAATCGGCATGTGAAATTCGAAAGTGCCAAGTTCCTCTCATTCTTAAACAACAATTTCTTCAAGAAAGTCTATTGATGATCTAGATTTTAGCTTTGAAAGACTTTTTGTCTACCTGCTGTTTTTATCAATTTATTGATATCCATGTGTACACTTGTTTCCACTATTAACTTCTGATTATTTCCTGGCTCGCTAATAGTGCACATGTACTTGCAGAGTCATTACATTTACTTTGGCATATCTTAATGGCATTAAAGTTTAGTTTATCGTGAAACTTGACTTCTCGTTTCAGGTTGGCAAACTGTCCACTGGTGACTCTCTTGATATGTCTCCAATGGATGAAGCATCTATCGTTGCAAATGATGCAACAGTTAAAGACATGGAGGTAACCGTCTAAATGTCTTAAGTTCAGTATGATGGCATTTGGGAAGACTTAGAGAAACTAGTGTCCTGTGCATAGGTGTTTGTTCTGTTTTCTATGCCCCTGGTCGTTTTGTTCCAACGATTTAGCGGATGTCAAATATTGCTCTGCAGACTCGTTAACATGTGTCTGCTCTTCCTGTCTAGGATGTCCTTATTTTGAGAATATACGGTCCAAGGGTAGTAAGTTACTTATCCCCAAAAAAATAAATTAGAAGAAGATCTAAGGGTAGTAAGTAACTTTTGTAGCTCCACATACTGCGTAGATCATATAAACTCGTCTTCTAAGAAATTTACATCTCAAGGATCACCTTTCTTATAATATAAAACAAATTGCCGCTCCATCTAAAAAGTAAAATGCGATCCTCTCTCAGGCATGATTAATGGCATTGTTAGGTATGATATTTGAAAGCTGTAATTGTACTGGGTGTTCGTTTGTAACTTTGGTTTAATTTAGCTTTGCTCTCTATTTTAGGGCATGGATTTCTCTCTTTTTCTGATCATGTGTTTTTGGGTTCCAGGGAGCAGCCGTAGCTTATGTGGCAGATCTGTTGAAAGTTCCTGTCATTTTTCTGAAAGCTGTGACAGACGTTGTGGATGGTGATAAACCAACAGCGGAGGAGTTTTTGCAAAATCTGGCAGCAGTAACAGCTGCTCTTGATCAAACTGCCACCCAAGTTGTTGATTGCATCAGTGGGAAATGCTTGTCCGAACTGTGATCTAATCTTATTTCATCCTGTGCATGCTTCAGTGCAAAATGGACAATACTGGGTTTCCAATATCTGTGGTCTCATTAGGTGACATTCAGATTTCCAGTTAGTGGAAATGTGACGTTCCTTCGAACTGCATAATATTCTTCTAGAGTGCATTGCATCAGCCTCACATTGTTCCAGCTAGTTTCTAAACGTAGCTGCTATTTTGAAACTGTTGTAAAATTAATTAAGAATTTTTATTTAGTTGGAGTAGTAGGGTTGTGCCGTTGTGGTATTCTTATATAAGTAAAGTGATTTGAGAACAAATAATCCGCGAACCACATGAACTACTGTTCAGCAACCTGAGGTCCAGTGTTGGATGGAAACCTCCATTTGTCGAATTGAATAATTTGAGTTTAATTTTGTTTAGAAGATAATTCTTGACTTTACTCTCACAATTTAAGCATAACGAACCTTGTATGATTATTAACCGCATAATAATTCATGTATTAAAATCTCTGCTTAACCAAACAATCCTCTTGGTTTTTAAGAGCGGGCCAGCCTCTACATTAACTAAGAGAAATATTTTCCAATTGTGCTGCTTTAACAAAACTGCTTCTCAACCAGAATTCAGTCGATCTAAGTACATTATATTAAACCAGAATTCCACCAACCACTCATCAACATCTCACAGTACTAAATCGAGATTAAACTTTGGACTTGCCAAAATCATGGACATCTTGTTCCTCAACTAATCCCAAGAACTCCATAAACAGAAGTATTTAGGCCCCTCCACATTTTGATGATATAACTAAAAACCTTTATTTAATAACAAAAACTATTTGGTAGGAGTTATAAATAGAAAGTTGTGTAACCATGGTATCCAACGGCAAGTAGTGAGTAATGGGGAGATTGGAGAAGATGGAAGGAGGGAAGAAGACCAACACCGGAAACGCTACCATCCTAGCTCTGGGCAAAGCCTTCCCTCATCAGCTTGTCATGCAAGAGTTTTTGGTTGATGGCTATTTCAAAAACACCAACTGCGACGATCCAGAACTCAAGCAGAGGCTCACCCGGCTATGTAATCTCTTTTCTTTCTTTCTTTCAGCCTTTTAACAGTAAATGTCGAACTAGATTTTCATGTTGATCAGGAACGGACAGTCTGAGTTGTAAGCTAACCCGGACACTGTAAAGTGCCCCATTTGGTTGAATGAGTTGTTGTCGTTATATGAATTTGAGTAATCCTCATTTCATGAGCTACCTTGAGTTAGGTACAACGAACATTTTCTTAACATGACATTTTCTTGGTTTACCGATGCTGAGCCACTATGTTATATTATACGGGCATGAGATGTCCAGTGCTGGGGGAGGTGTTAAATATCACAGGGTTGGAAGAACGGGTGTTGTCTCGTATCGAACAATCACCAGTTCATGAATTAACTTTTGAGGTTGAGTGAAGCCCAGTGTTCATTTTCTTAACAAACAAAGTCACTGTCTTTGCTCAACCTACCTATACATAGTTGAAAATTTAAGAAAAATATATATACTAGTAAGTGCAATATTTTCCGATTTTTACAAATTGGACTATCTGGTTCTTTTCCTTTTTTAAAACTTTTATATTGGAATGTTTGCAGGCAAGACAACAACAGTAAAAACAAGGTACGTGGTAATGTCAGAGGAGATCCTAAAGAAGTACCCTGAGTTAGCAGTCGAAGGCCTTCCAACAGTAAAACAAAGACTAGACATATGCAATGCAGCAGTTACAGAAATGGCAATTGAAGCCTCACAATCTTGTATTAACAAATGGGGCAGACCAATTTCAGACATTACTCACGTAGTATATGTTTCCTCAAGTGAAGCTAGATTGCCAGGAGGTGATCTTTATTTAGCAAAAGGACTTGGTTTAAGCCCAGAAACTAAACGAGTTATGTTATATTTTGCTGGCTGTTCTGGTGGAGTCGCGGGCATTCGTGTTGCTAAGGACATTGCTGAGAATAATCCAGGAAGCAGAGTCCTGTTAGCTACTTCTGAGACTACAATAATTGGGTTCAAACCACCAAGTGTTGACAGGCCATATGATTTAGTTGGAGTGGCTCTGTTTGGTGATGGTGCTGGAGCTATGATAATTGGCTCGAACCCGATTCAAGATATTGAAAGGCCTCTGTTTGAATTGCATACTGCTATTCAGCATTTCTTGCCTGACACAGAAAAGATCATTGATGGCAGGTAAAAATGGGCGGGTTGGGTCAAAATTAGACCAGTCAAATTAATGAACGGGTCATGACTCAACCAGTCCAATGTTGTTTAGGTCAAAATGAGTCGGGTCGCAATGGGTCAAATTACGAATCATAACCAAACCCATCTAATATGACCTAATTTCCCTTCCTTTTCTATTAGTATGCTTTTTGAAAAGGAAAAAAAAGAAAAGAAAATTACTCAGGTAAATGGGCGCGCAGGTAAACGGGCAAGTTGGGTCAAAATTAGACGAGTCAAATTAATAAACGGTTCATGACTCAACCAGTTCAATGTTTGTTTAAGTCAAAATGAGTTGGTCCCACTGGGTCGAGTCATAACCTAACTAAACCCATCTAATATGACTCAGTTTCCCTTCCTTTTCTATTAGTATGCTTTTTGAAAAAAAAATAATAATAAAGAACAATTGAAAGCTATTATATGTTTCTTAACTTATTAGCCTAAGTTCCTCTATATTTACTTAATTCTGAATCTCCATATTTGTATGTTTGGGTTGTATTTTGACTTGACGCGCTACACTATTTTGCCTTGTTTTTTTCCCAATAGTTTGATGAGTTATTTCATGTTCAACCTGTTGAATCAAATCAACGAACAGAGTCATGATCCAACCCGTTTTAAGTTGGGCTGGTTACTAAAACATGAATTTGTTTTTTCCCAGGCTTACTGAAGAGGGAATTAGTTTCAAGCTCGAAAGAGAACTACCACAGATAATTGAAGAAAATATTGAAGATTTTTGTGACAAGTTAATTAGTATTACAGGATACAATGATAGAGAATACAACAAGCTATTTTGGGCAGTTCATCCCGGTGGTCCTGCTATTTTAAACAGGCTAGAAAAAAAGCTGGAATTGTCTCCTGAGAAATTGAGTGCTAGCAGAAGAGCATTGGCTGATTATGGAAATGCAAGTAGTAATACTATTGTTTATGTGTTAGAGTACATGTTAGAGGAAAAGAAAGATAAGAAGAAAGAAAATCAAGAAGATTCTAACTGGGGATTGATACTTGCATTTGGTCCTGGAATCACATTTGAGGGTATTCTCACAAAGAATCTCACCGTCTGAGCTGTATGTCACTGGTCCTCGAAAATTTCTCGGTTGTCAAAACAATAAACAAAAAAGAATATGACCATTTGAATATGTTAAAGAGTACTCATTGCAAGTCCTCTTGCTTTCAATTTATAGTTCTTGATCTTGTTGAAGCTTTTTGTTTATTGTCTAGTCCATAATATAATTGAACAAAAAGTATGACATTAGGATCTAAATTTCATTGTCATTCATAAATGGTTTATTGATAATTAATTACTATGTTGTAAAATCTTTTGTTGACTCCAATTTTAAAGCTAAAGATTAGTAATTAAAATAAGGTTTGACCTCCTTGCGTCTACTGTTTCCTTTGAGGTTTTTATTATTAGTTATAGATGTCCACATTTATACGTACTCTGCTTGGATGGTTGTATGTGAAAAAGAAACTTCTTTAAGAGAATATCAAAAACTATACAAAACTTCATTTATTCCACATCTCATATAATACAAACAAGAATACAAAGCATTACAAATGTATTAACTCACCAAGAGGAGAGGACACAATTCCTCAAAAAGAAAAGACACAAAAACAAATATCGTAAAAACATTTACTACATTTTGTTTATTGATACAATATGGACAGGACCATATAGTATAGTCTGAGGAAAACAATAAGTAGCAGAAGATTTTAAAAAGAAGATTAATAAATTAAGGGCATTTGCGTCTGTTGCCGTGAGTAGTCATATTTGCATAGCAAGGGCAAGTTTCAGTGTTGCCAGAAGTGCCAGGAGGAACACAGTTACATCTAGCACAACAAGTTCCACATGCTCTCTTACACAATCTTGGCCTTGATGATAAACGGCACCTTGCTTTACATGCTCCCCCACAATCTTTACACACACACACACACACAATAAAGCCCATTAATAAAGAGTGTAATCATTGTATATATACTGATATTGTATAGATTTTTTATATTATCTGGTTAAAGTGACCTACAATAACATATGCAACTGGTAAACTGTACGTCTAATTTGGTATTTTAGACAATAGAGCAAATAACATACTAAAGTACAATTATACTTTCTTAAAACAGAATAAGATAGAGTTTAAGCTTATATGCTGATGGTATAAATAATAGGAGTATTTGAATAATCAAGAGCTAACTGTATGTAAATTTTTATTATAGTAAACTCGAGATTATAACCTGAAAAAGATGGTTAGTGGCATGCTAAAACCGGTTAAATGCTTTACGAGTGTAAAAAGAAATTTCATTAATTACACGGTAACGGATAAAAGATAAATTCTTTTAATGAATTAAATAGGACAAAAGTTTCTTTTGTCAGTTTTATGTAACTCTGAACAATATGGTTTTTCAATAGATAATAAACAAAGCTTAAAGGACAGGACATACACGACCAAAAAAAAGTGTATAAAGAAGGTGACAAAATGTTAGTATATGGCATCAGAGAGTAATTAAAGTTGACAAGGATAGCATACCGATTTTCGGGTAGGAATAAGCGGCTTCAGAAATAGCATTGCTGGTCTGCAAAAATCAAACATCATCAGCTGAATGAAACTTGAGTTTAAGAAATAAGACTTACTTATGTAGCAAGGAAAATTTATTGTTTTCATATGGTTAAAATAGTGAAGGTCACTAAAATGAGCAATTCGAAAATATAGATGATCAACCAAATATGATATTTTTAGGTTTTGAAGTAAGCAAAGGAGTTGATAAAAATACTTACCACTTGATCAGTTTGAATGGATTGAACTTGATCGAGGAGGAGCAAGGAGAGAACTAATGAAACAAAGAGAGTTTTAGAAATGGCCATTGGAAGTTTGAAATTCTTTAGAAGTAATGGAAATTTGTTTAAAGCTTAATATTTTAGTGTGACTTGAGAAGGAAGACCAATGAGGTATTTATAGGCAAGTAAGAAGTGTGTAGGTTCATTTGAGGACAAATAGCATAGAAACACCCAAAAATTATATTAAAAAAATTAAAAAAAGAAGAAGAATAAAGGCAAGTACGCGGAGGAATAGCATGCATGCGAATAAATTTAGGTACGTAAATGCTTAATTGTAGTAGGTAACTACGCTATAGTATACTAGTTAAATAGAGAAAGAATATAATTGCTCCCTTGTCTTTGAATATTTTTGCAAACCATTAATTAAAAATATTTAATAGCTTTAATCATAAAAATACTTGTCTCTAGACTATTTTTATCCTTTTTTAAAATATCTTATTTAATTAACACGCTACTAACTAATTGGAAACATAAGAGTATATCACTTGAAAAAAAAGTAAAATGACGAAATGTTTCGAGGAAGTAAAATTTAACAGCCTGGTCAGAGAGTCTGGAATTATTAGTACACTTCCCAAGGTGTGTATAATTGCAGTAGTAGGTGGACAAAGCTAACATATAAAGTCTCAGACGTTTCATTACATGAATTAATTAAAACAAGTTGAGTTCTATTTAATTACATTATCCGCTGCCAGAAAAGAACTCAAGATTCTTACGAATAACCGCAAATAATATAGTATATGACACTCTTTTGTGATAATAACTACGAATTTACAATAAGTATATGTTTTCTTATAAAATATCAGCTACGTATACATAATTCGAGTTAAAGGTAATAGTAGAAGTCAATTATTTGTTCAATCCTCCTAGGGAAGAGCTAGTAGCCTGACGTTAGATTCGGGCGAACTCATTAATTTTTGCTCAAACAATGTGTTTGTGTTAAAAAGTTTAATAAATATATACAAATATTAAATTTAAAACTCAATTATATTATTAATAGTTAAAATCGTTCTAAAATTCAAAACTCATAAGGTTGAAATTCTTACTCCGCCTACCTCCCCGGAATATTTCTATTTGAACTTGAGAGAACTCAGTTCTAGCTAGCATGACAAATGGCCGAGTTAAATCGAATACGAATTAATGTGTTGAAACCGATAAGACAAGAATAAATAAAAATTCAACATTTTATATTTAACAGAGGTAAAGAAACAAGTTGAGTGACAGATAAGTAAGGTGCAGTTTAAACTTTAAAGTTCAATCAATCTCCTCATTACCGAAATAGGGAATCCATCTTAATCCATAGAACACCAATAATAAAGCTATATGACAAAAGAAGTTCCTTTTTTTTAACGAAACGCGTTTGGACCAGTAGTTGAAGTTGAGCAAAGCATCAAATAATCATTTAGGAGTTTGAGCCATTAATTCAAAAAACTTATAAAGATACATATAATGGAAAGATAAGAGCATGATTTGGTAGTCAAAAGTTAACATCTTATAACAACTACTACTATGAATGCTACTTCCTTTTTTGTTGTGTAATGTGATTACTATTGAATGAGTTAATACAACAGCTAGCATCTTGTTGCACTACAGCTGTTTGTATTCTGGAACTCTCCTTTTCCAAAAGGATTACCACAAAAAATTATATTTAAATCTTAGCTCTTCGATTTGGAAAAAAACAACATGTTAGACACTTGGAAACTTTCTAGACGCACGATTAATAAGAGCATTGGAAGGCAACAAAAAAGTAAAAAAAGACAAAAACTAATGAGGAAAAAGATTTTTACGTCAATAATACTCCTATCACTTTCGTCTTCAAATCATGCACATACTTATCGTGTTAAAAAAATCATACACAAACTTAAGAATATTCGGAAAATACTTGAGTCAATTTTGACCGAAGTGACTTTTTTATGTAGCCCACGAGTGGTAAAACAACTCCTTGTTTTATTTTTGGCATTTCACCAACGGGGAAGCTGATTACAATTATTTCAAGAAACTTCACAAGTTCATCATTTTACTTTAGTGTTATATAGGTGAAAGATTGTTATTAGATATTCTAACAAGTTCATTGAAAATACTTACTATAGTGTATTTAAATCGAGAATTGTTTCAATTACTTTTCTTAGACGATGATATAAAAATGTACACTATCAGTTCACAGAAGCAGGCACTGTGCAAATGCAATGGTGGGAATACCAAACTTAACCCTTGAATCAAGTGACCAGGGAGAGGAACCCAATCGTTACACATCTATGACTAGCTTTGATGCAACAGTCCACAAGTCTAATAGCCTGTTTGGTCAAGCTGCAAAAATCAACTTATTTTGAGAAGTATTTTTTCTACTTTTGGTGAGAACCACTTTGTGTTTGGCTAATTCATTTGAAAAACACTTCTCAGTAGCAATTAGTGTTTGGCCAAACTTTTAAAAACTGCTTCTAAGTGTATTTTTCTCAAAAGTGCTTTTGAAGAAAAATTATTTTTTTCTGCTTCTACTCAAAAGCAATTTTTTTCTTCTAAAAGTTTGGCCAAACACTCAAAACTTTGGGGGAAAAAAAGTGCTTTTGGCTCGGAGAAGCTTGGCCAAACAGGCTATAAGTAACCTCAAGGATAAAGAGGGACAACATATGTTATAAAGAGAAAGAGCTGGAAGGAAAAAAAAAGGATTATTTCAAACTTCTGATGTTAAAACACCAACCAAAAATTCCCAACCGTTTACAATAAAATGAAGGTCGAGGCCCGCCCTGTGTGAAGCCAGAGTTCCCAACAAAGACATAGTGATTTATTCTCATATATATCTTTAGCCATAATAAGAGTTACTGTACTGGTGGAAATAACAAAAATAACCGGTGAAATAATCGAAGCGCATGCAAGTTGCCTCAGAGACCACCTCATCAGAAAAGGAAAAAAAAAAACGAAAGGACCAAGAATCCTTTAGACCTAAAAGCAGGTATACCTCTCATTTTCAACAAAAGCAGATGATTGCCTGAGGGGCCAATAGAAATGAAAGTAACATTATCTTTGTGGTGGAGTGAGTGGTAGATCCATTGTTGCATATCCATTCAGAAAAATTGTGTCACAAGTTCGTACAAATGAAAGCCTCTATGACTGGAAGGTACAAACTCTTAGTCCCTTGCAATATGACCATCCGGAAAGGGAAAGGGAAAGGGGGGAGGGGTGGGGTACATCCAGTTGTTCAACAAACAGGGATAAATTGTGTCGGAATCAGAATCATTAATCATTCACAGTGGTACATAAGTACAAAAATGAGTACATATCTGAAAGCCATATGATGTTAGTGCTAACAAAGTAAAGTAATCTAGGATTGAGAGAAAATCAACTGCTTCATTTTAAGACATTGCTAACTGCTAAAAAAGTAAAGTATAATCTAGGATTACCAGAAAATATTTTAGATAATACTAACTTCACAGACCACCGCACTCTTGATTTTACGCCTGGAGAGCCCTAGACCAGATTTTGACCTTGTAGAGAGACCAAAGATAAGCAAAAGGAAGGCAACAAACGTATGTGAAATTTCTGTCCATGACCAACACAATCATCAGTTACACTACTCCAGAAGGAAGGCGCATGACCAGCTGTCCACCGAAAACACTGCAATAAATTTAAAATGTGCAGATGTCATAGTCAATACAGCTTTGTGAAAGCCAGAAGATAAGAAACAAATTGACATGCAGAGCATTTTCAACCTTTTAACATAGTAGTAACAGAAGTCTGCTAAGATAAAGGTTTGGACAATTTCGGATATAAGAACCATAGAAGGCCATAGACCATGACCCAATGCTACCAGCAGATGACCGCGACTGTCCAAGACCTGACACAAAGCCAAGAAGAAACCAGAAGGTTATCACAACTGTATAGCATGGGTGTACAAATGAATCTGGAGACTAAGAGAACTCAAATACTCCTTAAATAGTAATAGCAAAGTTTATAATGCCAACAAGATCCTACGATGTGAATATATGACCAACCAATACATATTCCCGCATTGACAACTTATCATACATCAAACATCTTGATCAACCAAGTGAAAAATAATTGAACATTCTTAATGAATTCCACACAACATAGTGAGAACTCGGTATGATAACAATGCAATTCTATGCCTGCTTAACTAAATATATTCCATACAGTACCCCTAAGCTAAGCCAATTAGGCAGTTATTAAAAAAAAGAAGATAAAATCTGAGCATCATATCAGCTAGTTAAATTTCTTCAGAACAAACTATGCTGGGTAAAATCGTAAAACGCGGCTCCATCCAGGAAATATGAATGACATTTTCAAATAAAGTTATCTGACAAATTGTGATATTTTGAGAAATAAATTATCTGACAAGTTTTGATATCCAAATACTTCACGAACTGAGAGTTTGCAAATCAAACCTGGAGAACCCAGTGAGCACAGCTTAAGAACCTTGCAACACCCAATGCAAATACATAATGAGCTGTGAATGGTTCAACTATCTGTATACAAAACATCGAAGGGGTTGTCAAAGGAAAGCAAAGGCAGTTGATTCTAGTTCCACAGCATAAAAATACTTTGGGGGGAGGGAAGGGGGGAATCTGCATTTCATAAATAATTACATGCAATTATACCTTAGTGTTTTGCATGACACGAAGTTGAGGTAGCACAGAAACTGCCTCCAAGTAAACACAGAAAGCCCAGAAGACTCTATTAACGAAGAGATGTGATGTAGATGGATGAATTAATAAAGCTAAGGCAGCACAAGGGATCACCTGCAGAAAATTGAAAAAAACACACATACATTCTTCTCAAAAGAAAATAGAAAAAACTCTGCAGAGGATGGCATTACAAGAGTCATGCAAACAAAATTAATACAAAAACAAGGAGACGTAATGAAACCAGCTGCTTGAATGAATCAAAGATACTTTACAATCTTGAAATGAAGATAAAACTGAAAGCCACACAGACTCCATTCAGAGTCCACAGAAAATTATTTGCAAAACGATTCTTAATCCCCAATGCCAGAGATATATTGGTCCGAAGGGTAGCTTCTATAGCAATGGCAAAATAGCAGTCTCTGGTCACTTCACTAACATGGCATTGCTAAACTGGCAAAATAATCCATGAATAAATTACTACTTCGAAATGCTTACTAGAAAATAGGTTGTACTCCCTCGATGTCACTTTATTTTACACCATTTGATTGGACATTGAGTCTAAGCTTTCGAATTTGACTTGTGTGTTATATAAGTAATAGTGGAAGAAAAATTATTATTTTAAAGGTTGAAAAAAAGTTTGATAGAGGAAACATGGCATCAAAGTTTAAATTCTGAATCTTATAAATTACAAAAGTTGTATATATTATATAAAATAAGATTTTTAGTGGAATAGTGTCGAAACTTTAAAAAATAGAAGAATACCATAAAAATGGGGCAGAGAGATTATAGGATATGCTGGTATCAAATATCAACATTGGATAGCACTTGAGGTTTGAGTGTGAGTTCAATAAACCCTTTAGCTTTCATCTATCAAAAGGAACATAAGATTAATAAATTTATGAAGTGGATAACTAAATTAGATAGCAAATACAGCACTGCAGATGGCAACAACTAAATGTGTTTCAGTTCTTAGGCTCCTGAAGGAAGAACTGTGTTTTGAACTTTTGGTTACTCTTATATTACCAAGAAAGGTGCTTTATTATTGAATTTGATTTGCCGTACTGAAAGTAATAAATAAATAGAAAACAAGGAAAAGTTATAACAAGATGATCAGCCCGTTCATTTATGCCTTTACCTTCTTCTGTTGTGGGAGCAGAGGTTACTAGGAGGAGGCCTAAGCTATCTGTAACTTGAGATACACCCAATTGACTAAAATACATTGAGAACCATTTTAAGTTCAAATTTGACATTAAATATGATAATTAGACATAGATTATATTTCTTTATTTCTTCCAATAGATACAATAAAATTCTTTTTTCCTCTAATCTTCACGTCTAATCAAATTAGTTGAACAATTTTCATTATCTTAAGACCCCTAAATAATACCGATCCTGATAACTTAATACAAATAAGTTTTGACATATATCAATGCTTAAGTGTATCTTGCCTAAGCAAAAACCTAATGTGAGCTAGTTCTTTGCGTCATATGTCGGATCTAATGTGTATCTTGCCTAAGCAAAGACCTAATGCACATTATGTTGAAAATAATCACACCTGATAAGAAAATATCATCGGATCCACACTATATGCAATTATGATGTTAAAATGAACAAAATCTATTTATATGCAATTATGATGTTAAAATGAACAAAATCTATTTATCATATCCTGGATAGTTTAGATGAAAACATAGTATAGCTTTGTTATTATAACAATAGTGGATTCCTATCAATTACATTAATTTTGAATAGACAGAACGAGTGACAAATATTACTAAACTCAAAATATGTAAAAGTTAATACTTACACATTTTTCTGATAAAATAGAAAGTAGGTCAAACAACTCTTAAAACATCAACCTTTTATTTGACAGAAAGTTTAAAGACGCATCTAAATGTTATCCTTCATTACTTGAGAGTTGGGACAGTACATGTACATGGAGAATGGCATAAAAGAGAGTGCCGACGTCCTGGTAATCCTTTTAGACTTTGGCATTCTACAGTTTTCAATAACTATCCTATCGTTTTCCAGCAACCAATTCATATAAAAAAACAGTGCAGAGAAGAGTGAGTAGAATAAAATATTCAGAGCAAAATAACCTTTCATCTATAACTTAATATCATTTTCATATAATGAGCAAATTGTTAATTATGACAAAGTAGTGCAAAAATCACCAGCGACTTCTTATTTTATGCGCAAAAAAAAAAAAAGAAATCGAACATCAGATTGAACCAGAATCTACTTTTGTATGGCGAAAACAAAAGACACCAAATCATTTTTTGGAAATAGCATTGCAGGTGATGAGACCAAGAGCATGATACTGTTAGTCGTGCATACTAAACTTAAACTTTTGAATTGTTAGACTGGATGAGTAAGTTGTATGTCAGATTTTATCCACACCAAAAACTTGTCATTTGTCAAGATCTTTCTTTGTTTATATCTGTAAAACTGGATTTTTCAACACTAGCAGATCCTGGTGAGAGCTGTATCTATCATGGACTGTTAAATCAATCATAGACCTTTACATCAAGGTATAGACTTCTGAAGCCATAATAACTCATAGTTGCCTCGTTACACGCATGTATATATAGCTATGCACACACATACATAAACACACTATTAACATGTCAAAACCAGGAATCATGTATCTTTCTTTGAGAGGAAGATGCCAACTGAGAAACTAGCCCCAATGACACAACTAAGTACCACTTAACAAGAAAATTGAAAAAAAGGTATGCATAAGGTGTTTGTGACTTACCACGTAATAGATTAAAAAATTGTCTTTGTCCTCCATGTAACTTGATTTAAGCTTAAAACGGATCATATAAATAACCCACAAGGTCGTAGCGAATGTAGCTAAATCAAGTAAAGTGTGTATATCATATTCCATGACAAAACTACAATACAGTCTAACAGCCAAAAACATAGCAGTGAGCTCCTGCGATTTGAGTGAAAGCCCTGCAACAATATACGACAGAGTTATAAATTACTATTGTTGCTTATGGAATATGCAATCAGAAAAAACTGAGGCAAAGGATTGAAACAGAAATAAAAGGCAAAGCTCCCAAAATACTATTTTATGCGCATGCTTAAAGTTCCAGTCTGCCTTTTACTTCCACAGTCTCATATTTTACTTGTTTATTGACGTTTTTTTTTTCAAAGAACTTTAAGCATGCGCATAAAATAGTATAAGCCATGTTTACTAGTCCTTAAAGAAACCATAACCAGCACGAGCTCCAAAAAATCAAGCAAGTGCTTTAGCTCTTATTCACCTGTCACCTCCCTAATCTAAAATTATTAGCCACGAGAAAAGGACTGCTTTACATATCTGAAGATACTCCTTATGACTAATGTTTGTAATGAAAAGGAAAAAACCCTAGCAAGTTGTTCGCCACTTCATCTTAACCCACAAGAATGGTTGCATTCTTTAAGAACAGAAGCACCGGTAGGCAAAGTTAACATAGGTCTGCGTCACACTGCTTAATATTCCGCCTAGAAAACTGTTGCATCATAAATTTCATCAGTCACATTCAATAATGGCAGCCCGATGCAAGAAGGATCACACGATCACCCAAAGGGTATTATGTAGGTAGCCTACCCTGACGCATAGCGTGACCGATTTCACAAGTGACCTATATAGGTCAAGGAGACAACTTTACCGACCTCGAGGCTATCCTTCAATCATAACATATTATAGAGTCAACAAAATCAACCCCCCCCCCCCAACACCATCCCACTCATCAAATCCATAAAAAAAAGCTGTTAATCTGAAATTGCACCTAGTGACGATCTGTTATCCAAATTATTAAGCAACGATCTCTAGATTACTTCAATTCCTAATTTAAATCAACAAACAAAACCCTAGAATTCATCAACAGCTGAACCCAAAAAGTTAGATCTTTCTAAATTCAGGCAAACGAAGCAATCTTTTGACAATAAAACAACGGGTAACAATTACACAATTCGTAAATAAAGGGAGGAATGAATTTAATTACCGGCACAAGTTTTTTCTTTCATGAGCTTATAGATGAGAACGGAGATTCCAATGGAGTGAACAGCCTCAGAGGCGACGAAGAGGTTATCGTGATCGTGAACGATGGCGCGTAGGAGAACAAGCGCCGCCATGCCGGTGATGACCGCCAGAAAAGCCTTCACCTTTGGCGGTTGCCGGCGGACCCATGTCGACACGGCGTGGATCGGCCTCCGTGTCGTCCTCATGCTGCTTGTTTTTTTTTTCTCGATTTGCGGATGAATATGACTAATATTCGATAACGAAATTAAACTTTAAGATTGAAATATACGAGGAGGTGAATATTGGTGAAAATAGAATATGTAGCGAAAGAATTCATTAATTAAGAGGAGTCGATCTTGTTGGACACTAACCGATGGTTTTTTTTTTTTACCAGTATACCTTGTTGGGGCTTCGGAAGGATAAAAATTAGGCTTTGGGGAAGTAAAGTGAAAACAGAGGTCAACTAAACAATAGCAAAAAAAAAAAAATAAA